AGAATAATTTAGTTTGGAAGGGGCTTCTAGAAGTTACCTACTCCAGCCCCCTGTATTCGAAAAGAGCCTTTCCTCCTCTGTGTGAAGAGGGAGATAGTGCTTTCTATTATTTCAAAGCTGGGAAAGCTGAGAATTAAGGTCTCAGACTTGGAGGGAGGCAGATACCGCAAACTAACGGTCCTTTGGAGGTGTTAATATGCCCTAAGACTGGCAATGGTCTAGGCCTGTGTTTCCTTTTATGAGTCAGTATTCCTGCCTCTTAATGAACTGCATCAATGAAAAAGGTAGCCAGTTACCTCTTAGATACAAACAAGTACAGCTGATCTCACTCAACCATTCCTAAACTTCTTTGCTTGCTCAGAAAAAAAGATTTTCCCCAATGGCTCTTTTGGAGTTCTATTAGTTTGTCTCATTCAATTTTAGTCTTACTGCTTCTTATTGAAGGCTGTATGTAATGGGTCCACGTAGGGAAATTCTCAATGCCACTTTACTTTAGACTATCTCTGTTCTAATTTTCTTCTCCTCTCTTTGCTAATTTAGGGCACTATGATATTCCCTGTGCTAAGATCTGTCCTATACGACAGCAAGGAGTTTCCAAATCCAGAACAATTTGACCCAGGCCATTTCTTAAATGCAAATGGTACCTTTAAAAAGAGTGACTACTTCATGCCATTTTCTGCAGGTAAGTACTCCATTTCAGATCCTAGGCAGTAGGACATGAGAGGCTGAAGCCTTCAAACTGCCTTTGCCCACCATGCACTCTCATATTGTTCTAGACACTGAGCCCCCCCATTTAATTCATTCACTTCCCCAAATGCCTGTTCATTCTGAGATGTCTGAACTTTCATTAAGCAGTAATTAAAATAACTTACCAGCAAAATATTCCCCTAACACCTCACTTTTCTTTATTTCTCCTTGCAGGAAAACGCATCTGTGCAGGAGAAGGTCTGGCACGGATGGAGCTCTTCATATTTTTTGCAGCCATCCTGCAGAATTTTACTTTGAAACCTGTTAAGGATCGCAAGGACATTGACATTTCCCCAATAATCAGCAGTCTTGCAAATATGCCCCGACTTTACGAGGTCTCTTTTCTTCCACGTTAGACAAGTAAAGACAGCTTAGACACTCAGACTGTTTGCTAGATTCTTTATCAAGATAACTGTCATACTAAAAAGAAGAAAATGTTTGTATGTATCCATCTCTAAACAGAGTAGGTGGTTGCACAGGGGAGGAGAGAGCTCCCTAGGGCAAAACTATACAGGCTTTCCTCCACGCCCACCTCACCTAACCCAGCTCCCTATGTGGTTCCTGACATCCTGACATGGCAGGGTATGTGAGCTGGTGCTCCGAGAGCCCTGCTTCTGCTGCCTGTACCACCTGATCCTCTCAGTACAGCAGGAACAGACAGTTGTACCACAGGGTTTTCCCAGACATTGCTTGAGGTAGG